TAGAGAGTTAGAAACATCGATGAGAGAGAATCATCGATCAGCTGCCTCTTGCACACCCCCTACTGGGGATGTGCCCACAACCAAGGTACATGCCCTTGCCCGGAATCGAACCTGGGACCTTTCAGTCCGCAGGCCGACACTCTATCCACTGAGCCAAACTGGTCCTGGCTATTTTATTGATTTTTTACAGAGAGGAAAGGAGAAGGATAGAGAGTTAGAAACATTGATGAGAAAGAAACATTGATTCAGCTGCCTCCTGCACACTCCCCAATGGGGATGTGCCCGCCACCAAGGTACATGCCCTTGATCAGAATTGAACCTGCGACCTTTCAGTCCACAGGTCAATGCTCTATCCACTGGGCAAAATAGGTTAGAGCTGCATTAATATATTTTTAAGCCAATCTTGAAATAAAGCCACCTTGGTCACAGTAGGATTTTTTTTTTTTTACATTGCTAGATTTGTTTTGCTTATGTTTATTTGGTGTAGGATTTTTGCACCTATGTTCATGAATATATAATCAATGTTCTAAAAGAATGTGAGTTGTCAATAATCTTCCAATCATTGCTATTCAATTGAGTAGATTTAATAGATACAATAGGTTTGATAAAATTTATGGTGTATCCTGGAGAGTCACTCACCTCCCCTGTAAGATGAGTAAGACCCCAGCAGGTTGGACGAAGGGCTGGTGTGTGGTGTGCCAAATACTTAGGCTGGGTTAATGGCAAAGGAAAATTCTTATGGGCTGCTTAACCTAAAACTAAGCAAAATGAGGAACAGCAACATCTAATGGAGGAAAATAAAAAAACATCTGATATCAAATGTGCCAACACATTCTGCAGAGTAGAAAAATCCAGGGGAAATGCATTGGGTTATTAATTTGGGGAAAGTAAACAGGGTCCTGAATTTCAAAGTCAATAGTAAAAGGAAGGAAATGGAGCATTTTCATGAAAATAAGGAATGATTGTTTTTGTATTGACTGACTCGTGTATTTTTGGGCAATATTAATCACTTTGTACAACATTGATTCAAGAACACCAAACACCCTGTGTTCTAAGAAGCACATATAAAAAATAAGCTTTTAAGGGAATTGTAAGATTTGAGGACAATTTGCTTTAGTTCAAAATTACTTCATTATGATAGGGAAATAATAGCAATTAGTGTAATGAAAAAGCATAATGAAAATTAGTTCTGACTGAGAGATGATGCTAACCAAAATTCTGTTGTGTGTTTTTTTTTTGTGTATGTGTGTGTTTTTTTTAATATATTTTCTTCCATTCTCACAGAAAGAACAAGCCACCATTGACCTAGTATCTGCTTTGGCTCAGTATTTGGTTTCTTCATAGGTGCTTTAAAAAATGATGATATATGCATTTTAAGTGATCTTATATGTGAAAATTTTGAGATTTATTTAACTTTATTAAAAATCGTAAGTGGTGCTCTAAATGTAGGCTGGGCTACTGTTAACATCTGGAAAAGGGCTCATTTGTGCACATGTATTACGAAACCAGAGTGAAAACTGGTAACGGGGAGTCCACTCCTCAAACTTACCAGATTTGGGATATGTAATTATGAAGACATCATCATCTCTAATTTCAAAATCATCTAGATTTTCTAGAAAGTCAGGATCAATTAAAGAAGATACAAAATTATAGCCTTTATAGTTCAGCAAATATGTGTCTTTGTTGTCCATACTTATTCACCTACAAGTAAAAACAAATAAAATTATTTTCAATTTCTTAGTATTTTATAGTAATTAAAAACACTTGCTGAGTGTTTGATATATGCCAAGCACCTTTTAAATGTCATGTGTCTCAACCCATGCCATACTGAAGAGCATCCTATCTAATTAAAGAGTAATACGCAAATTGACTGTCATTCCAACACACAAGATGGCTGCCTTCATGTGGACACAAGATGGCTGCCACAAGATTTCCAGCAGGGGAGAGAAGTTGGGAGGGACCAGACCTGCAAAGGAGGGCAGTTGGGGACAATCAGGCCAGCACGGCAGGGCAGTTGTGAGGGACCAGGCCTGTAAGGAAGGGCAGTTGGGGGATATCAAGCCTGTAGAGGAGGGCAGTTAGGGATGACCAAGCCAGCAGAGGAGGAGAGTTGGAGGCAACTAGTCCTGCAGTGAAGGCCAATTCGGGGAACCCAGGGTTGTAGGGGAGGGCAGTTAGGGGCAATCAGACTGGCAGGCAAAAGCAGTTATGGGTAATCAGGAAGACAAGAAGACAAGCAGTTGGGAGCCAGCAGTCCTGGATTGTGAGAGAGATGTCCTGCTGCCCGTTTAGGCCCTATCCTACTGGGATCGGGCCTAAACGGGCAGTAGGACATCCCTCGAGGGGTACCAGGTTGGAGAGGTTTTGACTGAGCTGAGGGATACACACCCCTGTGCACAAATTTGACGCATGGGGCCTATAGTCCTATATAATAAAACCCTAATATGCAAATCGACTGAACATCAGAATGACTAGTCACTATGATGTGCGCTAAACACCAGGGGTTAGACCCTCAATCCAAAAGCTTCCCCTCTGGAGTCAGTAAGTTCTCACAAGGGGAGAACCATTCAGCAAGAAGCTGGGCTCACAGGGGCAGGCACAGCATCAGTGGCAGGAGCCTCTCTGGCCCCCACTGCAGGGGGGCAGTAAGGACCGAGGGGTCCTGGACTGTGAACGCCCCCGACTGCGAGAGTGTCTGCCTGCCTGCTTAGGCCCCATCCACCCAGCAGGCGGACATCCCCTGAGTGGTGCCTGACTGCAAGAGGGTGCAGGCTAGGCTGAGGCACCACCTGCTCACAGTGCATGAATCCATGCACTGGGCCCCTAGTACATATATATAAAGATTTACTCTTAACAGCAACCAAACATTCCTAGAGGTTTTAGCACTACTTTAAAGAGGAGGAAAGTACCCTGTTTCCCCGAAAAGAAGACAGTGTCTTATATTAATTTTTTTCTCCCAAACTTGCGCTAGGTCTTATTTTCAGGGGATATCTTATCTTTCCATGTGCTAGGTCTTATTTTCAGAGGACGTCTTATTTTCAGGGAAGTAAGATACGGAAAAGTTAAACAGCTTTTTCTAAAACCCCAGGAGGGAGGTATTATCATGATTCCAAACATAGAACTGAGGAAAACAAGGTAAAGGAGGTACAAGGTTGCCCACCTGGAAGATCTGGCAGGATTTGATGTCAGACTATGTGGCCACAGATCCTATGCCTTCAATCACTTCACTAATACAGTTTCTTAGTGTTTCATATTTTTATTATTATAGAAATAGGAAATTCTTCAAAAATATTCACTTTTTTTTTTTTTTTTCTGGGACAAAAATAATCTGTTGCTCCTGAAAGAAGCTTCTGAGGCTTTGGGATCTGTCTGCCATTTCAAATAAATTGTGGAATTTGCTCTGTGTGAGTAACACCAACTGGTTTTAATTTGGAGATGACACCCTTATATAGTTGTAAGATATTGTAAAGTTTTTTATTACATTTTTCCAATTGAATTTTATCAGAAATCCTAAATAAATTTAAATAAGAAAGTCAAAATATATATAGGAATCACACAGTCTAAAGAAATACACGTTCAAAAATTGAACCAGTTAGGGATTTCTCTATTAACTTCACCTGTTAAATCTATTATATATATTGATTTCAAAGAGGGAGAGGAAGTAAGAGAGATAGAAACATCAATGAAAGAGAATCATTGATCAGTTGCCTTCTGCTCTCCCCCTTCTGGGAATTGAGCACACTCCAGGAATGTTCCCTGACCAGCAATCAAACTGATCCCTGGTTCATAGGTTGATGCTCACTGAGCCACCCAACTGGGTGAGAAATCTACTCTTGAATGTTAAGTAGATGAGGAAATCCCAGAAGTACTAATAACACTAGGTGTAGAGCCAACACATACTAATAACACTAGGTGTAGAGCCAACACATATGTTAGCTGTGTACTTTTAAAAGAAATTCTGTGCACACCTTGAAAATGAATTTGTTAAAGTTGCAAATATAGCTTTGTCTAAATTACATGTCAAAAACATTTAATTCTTTTACAAACAATCTAAATCATCTGACTGATAGAGGAAGGTCAGAGGTTAGAATTTTGCTGAGTAAGAGTAGAAACATCACTTGCATTAGAATTACCTGGATTTTGGTAAATGTTCATATTCTAGGCTCTATAACAGAGTGATAGGATTAGAATTTCTAGAAATATGCATTTTAATTCTTGGAATCACAATTTAAAAAAAAGGAGAGAGGGTTGGGGGACCAAAATACTGTTTCAATGAATGTTTATCTCATCTTCCAGAGAAGGCTTTGTGGGATGTTATTTGGTCTCTAATTAAAAGATCTTATTAAGGCCATACTATGTTGCTAGAGCTTTCCTGACTCAAGGTGAAGTCCAGGCAACCTCAACTGGGGAGAAGGATAGAGGAGACTGGCTGATACATCACAAAGAATGGTTTCAAGAGAGAGATGGAGTGCTGTTCTGACTGTGCTGTTATGAAAATTTCCAGGAAAAACCTTCGATAACTCAACCTCTGGAGTGTGGTAAGGAAGAATTTATACTGTATACATCGACATACACAACAGAAAGCACCAATTACAGGAATTCTTGATTCAGAGAAAAGAGGAGAGAGTGTCAGGCAGTTCACAAAAACATTCTAAAATCACTCCTTTTAACTACTTATTACATTTAGTATGTCTTGCACAGTCTTAAGAGAGAACAAGCTATTTTGTCCCAGAAACCAGGAGGAAAGAGTAGAGTGTAGGATGCATTTTTATATAGGATTTTGGGACTGGTGAGTCATGTATTGTTTGTATCTCCTTAATGAATATGGGAGAAAGTATTTGTACAAAGAAAAGAATTTCATGTGTTTTCCCTATTCTTGCCTTGAATCCAAAAGAAAAGGAAGAAAAACAGAAATTTGAGGAGAAAGAAATAAAGTCATTGTATGCTGAAGAGAGGGTAAGACTTGAAAGAGGCTCTATGTCTACGTTTTCACTACTCACTGTTGCACGTCAACTGATGAAGCAAAATCCACCTCTGAGATAACTGCATGGATGACAGGGAAAGATGTGCTGCTGAGAAATAAATACTCCCTACAAGTGTATTTTGACCAATGATTAGTGCTCTAGGGAGTCAACAGATAGCTCAGTTTGAATAAATAATTAGGAAATACTTTATTAGGTAATACTTTATTAGGAAATAGACATGTGATTAGTCCAGACCACGCAAGAGTCAAAGCTGGTGGAGATAAAAAAGAGAGCTGCATGTAACCAGTCATCATATTTACTTAAATTGGAAACTATAAAACAACAGGTATTTGAAAGCTATAGCAACATCTTCCTTGGGCATGAAGGATGGCTCCTCAAATCATTTAGACTCATCTCAGAAGGCTGGTGTTCCTTTCTCAGGTTTTTACTCCAAACAACCTATGTAAAACTGGCTAAGGCTATGGGAGGTTCCAAGAACTTTATAAAATCACAGTGTATTTAAATTCATTTTCTAAAACATCCAGGGTTGTCCTTCTACTCCTGTTTTATATTGCATTTTAGTACATATTACAGACGATGCAGCCTATCTCTTTTGCGTCTATTCTAATAATAGAGGAATATGCAAATTGTCTGGGATGCTGTCACAGTAATAGTAAAGACCAACAGCAGGCTGGGTGGGGCGACCAGGCCAGCATGGGGGGGATTTAGGGGCAATCAGACAGGCCTAAATTGGCAGTTGGACATCCCCCAAGGGGTCCCGGATTGGAGAGGGTGCAGGCTGGGCTGAGAGAACTGTGTATTAAATCATCAGAACTTTTCATTGTATAACTGAAGTTTGTACCCTTTGACCAACATCTTTCCATTTTCTCCACCTCCCAGCCCCTCAGAAACCACCATTTCATTCTTTGTTTTAATGATTTGCATTTTACTGTTGGGGGTTCGGGGTGAGACCTTCTCCCCCACTCTTTGAACCATCAATGTAGATTATTTCAGAATAGAATTTATATTATGTAACAACATGAAATCCTCCTGCACATAAGATCTTAGCCTATTTACCAGACCTTTGGCAAAACAATACTGATTTGTCATTTACTTGAATCGACCAGTTAGCTAAAATTCAACCTAATGGGCTCTCTGATGGAACCAAGACCAAATCTCTTATTTCAAAATAAAAAAAAAATCTAAAGAAAGACAAGGTCAAAACAGATGAGTTACAAAACAGCAATGATCAAAGCAAGTCCCCAAAAGAGAAGAAAACAAACAAAGAACAAGTGTAACCAAAGTTTCATTTCAGACAGGTGAGGGCTCTCAGAGAGCACTTAGACCAGACAGGCCAGAGCTCTCAGACAGCAGCTGGTGCCCTCCCCCGGAGGAACTGGGCTTCAGTCATAGAGTCTGCTCCCCTGCCAAAATGAGACCTTGGATGACTCTTTGCTGTGTCCTAGATGGCCAAAAAGACCAGACAGCGATGATAGAAGACCCCTCCTGTGCACCCCAGTTTGACTTCCAGTCAGACTTGGAGTCCACAGACTCCACAGATACCCGTTTCCTTCCACCAGCTAAGTGTTCCAGGCCCCTGATGCCTTGAGAGGAAGAGCAGGGAGAGCCCTGAGATAAACAACTCTCAACTGCTGCTGGGAAATCCCTGTAGTCCCTGTCATGGGGTCAGCCTGCCAGGAGCCGCTGGACCCTCGGGCCTTACAGGAGTCTACATGGTCCCAGAAGAGTTGCCAGAAATTGTAACTGAAAATTCAGATTCTGCTGCCTGCCACAGCAAAATCCAAACTCTGGCACTGAAATCCTGGCATTTTTGGAAACATCTAGAAAGTCTGGATCAACACGAAAACAACAACAAGAAACCCCACAACTAGCTGACACCAAGATTAAACAAAGGCAGGCGTCTGTAGAGGGGAGGCAAAATTTGAAGAAGTTGTTTTAGTTTTTTGCCCTCTTTGTCTCTGGAGCTGGGCTCAGCTGCAGAACAGTAGTGGCAACTAAAAATGCAAGATTCTTTAACCACTAGATGGCACTCGTGAGTATATTTTAAAGACAATTTACTGAATTTGGTTCATGATTAAAAGAGGTATGGGAAATTAATATATTTAGTTACTAGAGGCCTGGTGCACAACATTCATGAACTGATTAAGTAGGGGGGAGTTGCCCCCTCAGCCAGGTCTGCACCCTCTAGCAGTCTGAGACCCCTCAGGGGTTGTCTGACTGCCAGCTTAGGCCAGCATCCTGCTGAGCAGAAGCGGACATCCCATGAGGAGTTCCTAGCGCTGTGGTGGATGTGGGAGAGCCCCCCTGCCACCGCTGCTGCACTTGCCAGCTGTGCGCCTGGCTCCTGGGTGGGAATGCACTGACTCTCAGGATGCAGCTTCTGCATTGAGCATCTGCCCCCTGCTGGTCTGTGCGCATCATAGCAACAGGTAATTTTGCTATTTAGTTGATTTGCACACTGGCCTTTTATATAGGATTCGTTCGAAAAAGCAATCTGAGAAATACACCATCTTTAGCAAAATGCACTAACTCCATATGAACAAAAAATTCATATTAATATGTTAAGCGCCATGTCAGTCACCAGTGACTGAAACGGAAAGGGAGACAAATAGGCTTGGCACTTAACGTGTTAAATGGGAAAAATGTATTTGTATCATATGGTAATTCAGAATAAAATTCACATAAATCTCATCTCTCCCATTCACAAACACAACACAAGCTTTGGGCATGTGCTTAATTTTGCATATAAAAAATATGGGGGGGGGGGGAGAGAAAAATCATACTGGCTACAATGCTATCTTTTTTATATAACTATCAGTCAATATTCTTAAAGTGTAACTACAGGACCTACATGATTTCCATATTCTCATATTAAAACCTCCACAAGTGAATGTTTTTCAAGCTCCCAAAGTTAGTAGAAGGGCTATTATCCCAATTCTCATTCTTTTTTACTAGAACCAGCTATATTTTCATACTAAGTAATATTTTAAATTTCAATAGTGAACTAAAATATTAAGTATTAAATCTTCACTTTCCCCCCATGTGCTTAAGCTCCCTGGGGCAGGATCAGCATATGCCTGTTCATCATCAATTGAGCACCAATATCAGAAACAGAAACAGAAACCTCCCCATATAAAAATACATGTGCACAGAGGTAGTTCCTATCTCGAATAGAATCCCGTAAGGTTAATAGTGAGAAAGAGATATCAAATTAATATTTACCTTTAAAAACACACATCTTTTAAGTAACAGATTCTAATGTTTTAGGGGTCTTTAGATAGAGATGAATCTGATATTTTAAAAACAAAATTTAGATGTCAGAAGATACATCCAATTAAAAGGATGTTCTTTTAAAAAACTACCTTAAAAGTATAGGTGAAAAATATTCAGATGCATATCTTCAAAATAGACTAAGTTCTATAAGAATCAATCTTAAGGATACCATCACATTAGAAGGATAACTTAATGATTATATCCATTTAGATATGTCTGAACTGTTATGGTCAAAACCACTAACTTACTTTTTAACATCTTGGGTCATGTGGCAGTAGCCCATTCCAGTGTTTTCAGGTTCTTAATTGTTACCTGTCTGCATGGGGTTAGCAATAATGACTTCATTTTGCCTATTCTCTGAGCACTTTTATTTATGCAAAGACACCCTTACCTGATAGTTCAACATGGTTTCACCTCCAGCCTTTCTACCTAATGATGTTGAGGATAGAGGCCAGTGAACCCTGATGCCTTTTGATCTACCAGGGACAAGGCTGAGGGAAATGAGGCACTTACCTTAGGTAAGATGTATGCTCCAGTTTGGGAACCAGAGCCTTTGGTTAATTTGCAGAATACAGAGCCAACAGTAAAGTTGATATTTACTCTGGATAGCAATACTTAGAAGTATCATTAGAACTAACGAGCTTGTCTTCATTGTCATATCATTGGGTTCTGCCTAATTCTGAAAATGGCATTCTGAAATGACAAAGTTGGCAATCCACTCTGACACCTGCAGAAAATGTATACAGCTTAAAACTTTAAAAAATCACAGGCATGGGAGAAGTGGAGTCATTCTTCACACCTCAAAGTCAAGTCTTCATTGACCTCCACTTTTCTTAATTTTAATTGAACTGCTCTTTTAGATTCTTACACTGCTGATCAACTTCAAAAAGAATCTCCTTTGGAAAAGCAAAACCTCACATAACACAAGCTTTTGGACTTCTCTCTGCATAGAAATGCTGACCATGACTATCAATCATTCCCTTGTGTCGGTCGGGATCAAGTTGGTGAAAAGTATTAAATTCCTCAGTGATACCTTTGTCTTAAATGATTTGTTTTAATCATAAGGGCTGACTCCAAATACAAATGTGGAATTGACAGTGCTGTGTTTGTGGTATATATACTTTTGAATGGAGGCAGCTATTTGCAATCAATCGCACAAGTGATTTCTCATTGCGGTGAAGATTCAATCCTCCAAATCTGCAGTGAATGGCTAACTTGCATGAAGCCTGATTCTTCTACCTGGAATTTCCAAGTCAATCATTTCAAATTATTCTGAAGGTCTCACATGTGCATGGATGTGGAGTGTGGTTCTCTTGTAAACAGTGTACAACCCGCAGAATTCAGAACCCTTCAGACTGGTTAATTGGAACATCACAACATATAGATTTAACTGCAGGACAGTGGTTCTTAATCAGGAGTGTGCTTCACAACCAGAGTCACTGGCATGAGATTTCAGTTTTAAGATTCAGATTGAGGCTCAGAGTTTATTAACTTAAACTGAGTAGGGACTAAAAGTACACACTTTAAGAACCCCACAGATGGTTCTGATTCAAATAGGACTAGTCCATTTTATTTCTGACTATAATACGTGCTTCTGGTTTTGTTAAGAGGTAAATTTATCATACCCAAAGGCTAAAACTCAGAAAGTTTAATACTCTATTCACTTCAGTCTTCTAATAATGTACGTGTATGAATGACAACGCTTAGAATTCAAAAGTCAATGAGTTATCCCAATTCCTTGTATATAAAACCACACCTAGGCATAGCAGCAGTCTATATTCTAGTCTAAAGGTATAGGAAAATCTCTTTTCAAACACAAAATGGTTTAAAATACAGTGGTACCTCAG